TCTACTTTTCTTTTCTCACTTTCTTTTTTTATATTTTCTGTTTTTCTCTTTTTTTGTCTTCTTTCTCCTTTCTGCCATTTAAAAATTTTGTTTTATTAGTACTTTTTGTCCTCTTAATGACATTTCCCCCCCCCCCCCAGGAGATCAGGTTAAAGGTGCAGTTAGAAACAAAACAATACAATACGGTTATGGAAAAGAAAGGGGGGACAGAGAAGAAAAGAGAAGGAAGAAAGGAAACTTACTTGAACATAAGAAGAAGAAGAAGGGAGAAAGAGAGAAAGATAAGGAGGAAAGGAAACTTTACTTGAACAGAAGAAGAATAAGAAGGATGCCAAAAAAGGGGGGGGGGTTATTTCATCAAAGCAAACATCAAGAAATGAATGCATCAAGTGATATGGCAATTTATGAAGATGAAAGGAAATAGTATGAATAGTTAAATATTAAGCTAATGATCAAATTCTGGATTCAAAGGAGAAAAACTTTTTGGATATTTATTTGAATACATTCATTACATATGTATGTACTACATAATATTATTAAAATTTGAACCTTTAAAAACTGAAATATATATTTTTTAACAATGTTTAATTTTTATAATTTTTGTAAATAAATGGTAATAGTTAATAATAATAATAAATGTTCATCAATTATCTTGTTTCTCCTTTCTCCATCTGCTCGTCCACAGTTCTCTTTTTCTTACCTCCCTTTGCTCGCCCATTTATGTGGCTGCTTTTGAAATAATGTTTACGAGTCGCCGTCTTTGCGCCATTATAAGACAGAACAGGATCACCCTTTAATTATAGAGATGTATTCCACTCCGTATTTGTTTTGTTTTCTTAATTGTTACTGCAGCCTCAGCGCTAAACATGCTGTCTACTTGCATTGGCAAAGTCATCAATTCTGGCACTTCAAGTTAGTTTCTATTTACAGCAAGGGAGCAAAAGAATCCTTGCACATGTTCCCTTTCCTGTACAGGGAGGGTTGCTATTCAACAAAGGTTAATCAAGTGAACCGTTCAGAGGTAATTTTAAGTTAAAGGATCCAATAGAGAAATGTCCTCATGTCTCATTTCGCTGCTTGTGAGAAGGTTAGATGGTAGACTAGGAAGAGGAGAGTTGAAGATGAGGATAAGGGTTTGTAAGAGTGGTGTATAAGGAATGTTCTGTTAAGATCACTCCATTTGTCCACATGTTATAGTGTTTCCCATTCCAGAGGAATTCCTTAGGAAGTATAGCATTTAGCATGCACCGCTGCATGCAGAGGGCGGAGTTGTTCCCTTTTAACAGCTTTGCTCAATGCTCATGCAGGGAGCAGGGAAAGGGCACTCGCAGAAAGGGCTCTGATTGCTATTTGGAGTGGATATAAAACCAGATTAGTATTATACATATAAGCTCTTTGTTATTCCTATTTCTTGACTTAGTACCCAGGCCGTGGAACTGTATTGAAGAAGGAGGCTAGCTAATTGAGCACGGGGTTCAGGCCTGCAGACACCTTTCTCAGCGTCTACTGCAAATAGTGCAAAGAGCTTTCTAGGAGAGGTCTGTTACCCTCGGCTGTAGGAATGCAACAGAAATATACATATCCATATACATTTCATTAATCTATCTAATGGGGAATGTTTTTTTTTTGGGTTATTATCCAGTTTTGACAAATAAAGTTAGTATGCCTACTGCAGAACTTGCTTAAGCAGTTCAACTTAGAATAATCCCATTTTGTTTTATAATTCAACAATTTTAACCTTTCGTAGTTTTTTTTTTAATACATTTCATTTTTATTGTATAGGCCGAGAAAAAAACAGGCTGGAGGGGTAGGGGCACCAAACGCCCCCCCTCTTCTTGTTTTTTTGCCCTAGCATTCTCATTTTTGACACAGTGATTTTTTTTTTACTTTTTTACTTTTTTTCAACCCTCCCTAACACCCAAACTATAAATGTTATCGATCTATTTTTTTCTAATGAGCTGCCTTTGAAAAATTGGGCTATGATCACGCATTTTACTCTATACTTATTCGGTAGATATTGTTATTTGTTACTAAACCACTAGAGGGGGGGGGGGGTGGCTTGAATTCCAAAGTGTACTGTCACCCTTTTCTTGTCAATTTGACCCTTATTAAAGCTGGTCAGTTTGATAAAGTTTACTCGGCTTGAGTCTTACAACTGTCACAAAATAAGGAAAATCCATTGTTTTCTACCTGATCAGTGAACAATATCGTCGTAATATGTATTATCATTACATATCTAATAACTAATCTGGAGAAATATGGTGGATTTTCCTTGTATGCGATGTTTTTAGATATGTATATGTATTGTGTGAAATAATTAGCTATCAATGTATTTATATTAGCTCTCTATAAGGTGGTATGATTTCTATCACTAATAAGAGTATAATAACTAAGGAAAAGAGGGGGGGGGGGGGGTGGATGTATTTATTGTGACACAGGACAACACAACGATTAGTTTTTTTGTGGTCAATAAACAATAATAGTAAACAATACTTGGCCAGGCATGCAAACTTGCTCTAGCTGCTTAAAAGTTGGCCTGGTATTTCAAATGTATCAGATTTTACTGTGACACTGTTTAAAAATTGCAAACTTTTATTTTATTAATTTAGCTTTTTTACTAAACTAAGTCAAAATAAGGGAATATTCTTGATATTTTTGAATAGTAAGTTCAATCTTTTTTATGATAGCCTCATTTTTTTCTTTGGGTTTTTAAAGATTGTTAATTTAATGACACTTGATTGCGATTATTATTTATAATGTTGATGGTTGAAGAAGTAGCAGAGTTCATCTTGTTTTTCAGAGCACTTTTTTAATAATTATGTTTATTTAATAATGATAAGAATTCCTCCATTAATCTTTATTTATGTCTTTAGTTGTACTGTCTTTATAGTTGTATATCCTCATCGTCTAATAGTTTGAGATATTTGCATAGTAGTATTCTAATTACATAGTCTATAGCAGTAATTTATACTAGATAGATTTATTGATGCAGCATACTAAGAAGATAGGAAAGTTTGATTATTTTTGGGGAAAACGTTGTTCTGAGGTAACAACATTTTTATATTTTCATTCAAAATGAAAGGTAAATAAATAAATGATATAGCTTGTCAGACGTTATCACTCCTGTAGCTGTATGCCGAGTCCATTAGCGCCTGATCTAATCAGGGTTTAGTCATGTGTTTGATGTCTATTCTGAACCAATAGAAATGGTTTGGCGGTAACATATATCTTTCTATCTATCTCATTATTTAATCAGAGATATGAATCCTTCAATCGGCGCTTTCAGTAAATAAAAATATTTACTTCTACTGAAACTATAGTATTATTAATACAAAAAAAATAGTTTTGGTCTGATTTATCATATAAAAAGAAAATTAGTTTTTGGAATTATATTGTTCCAATCTGAATTCATAGTCCTTAAATATTTAAACTATATATTCTTTTGGAGCAGTCTAAATTTAACATATTAAGGGTTTACACTTTACACCATCAGGTTGGGGGGAAGAAATCTTGAATTAAAAAATTTGTTTTAAACCATGCAAAAATATGTTAGCAATGGCTTTAGTTATTGCAATGGACAAATTGCTGGCATAGGATAAAAGCTTTAAAAAAACAGTTATTAGAAAAGATAAAATTGTGATTGAAACTCAACTTTTATCTTTATTTTGGGACATAAAATCCCAATTTTCTTTAAAAAGCAAAAAAGGTTTTAAATTTATTACATTAATTCTTGTATGTTGCACGTTTTTAAAAAAAATTCAAAAAAGATTCAACATGTTTGATTTGTTTTGTTTTGGTGAAAATAAAACTTGTTAAAGAGATCTCCTTCAAAGAAATAGAAATAATAAGATAATCATAAAGTGTTAAAAAATGTCTAAAGTTATTTTACAGTCTAATATCATGATAGCTGTATATTAAAGTCTGTTTTCTATTTATTTATTGTTATTGCCTGTTTACCTTTTCCTGGAAGAGTTTAATAAAATAGTCAATATTTGCTAGAAACGCTATCATAACAACAAAATTATCAATATATAATATAAAAATATAATTCTGGTTAAAAGATAGCGTGTCAATTTTTTAATAAATATTGAGACATTATGAGAATTTTAAATCAATTTATGTAAAAACTAACCCTATTTGTCGAAAGAAACTCAGCAAAAAACTTTATTTGTAAATGTATGGTCAAACTAATAAAGATTAGATTAATAAATACTATTATTCTACTAAGAAAAAGGGATTATAAGTACATTACTTAAAACTTGAGTGTGAAATAGTAGTAATCTCCCTTGATCTCAACATCTTCTGTGAACACTTTTAAATGGGCTAGATCCCAAGATTGGATACCCCAAGGTTATAATCCAAGGAAAGTAATTTCAGAAGTGTACGCATCTTTTGTACTGCAGTGTACTGTCTCTGGGCGGTAATGTAAACACAAAACGGATGCCACAGCCTGACATGGGATCAATATTTCCCATAAAAAATCAATGAAATATTCTGGTCATAGAAAACTATTTTGTGAATTATCAAAATTATCAAAATTCTATTATAGTTAAAAAATTCCGCCCCGAGAGAACTGGTTTCAATATGTACGTAGAGTATACGCAACTGCAATTAACTTTCCTTGCATTACAACCTTGGGATACCCTAGTTAACAGTCACAAGATAATAAAGAGAAACTTAATCCATTAGATGAAATATGCTAATTATGTGATCCAAAAATTCACAGCAAAAAAAGTTTTAAAAACTCTTTACATCTACACAATTTTCATATGATTTTTCTACAACAAATTACAATTCTATGTACAGTCACAAAGCTGTTTCATTTTAAATTTCCTTTTAGTTTTAAAGTATTAAACAAAACAAATGGTTTGTTGTTGTTTTTAAACCATCTAAATTCAAGCTAAATGGCATTTTATAAAAACATAAAAGTAGAATTGTGAATTCTTTGAGATTGAAAATTGTAAATTTTTAATCTTTTTTTTACCATTGATAATTTTTCCAGAAAAAAAAGAGTTAAAGCATGGTGGGTTACATTTAGAAAATGAATGAATAGACTGCCTTCTGGCAGATATTAAGGTAATCATCTTTAGACATTTTTTTTGGTTGAAAATTAAAATGTCATTTATGAATTGATTTTCAATCAAGCATGTTTTGACAACTTATATTTCAAGCTACATGTAATTTTTGTAATATTGATTTTACAAGATTATTTTCTCACTCTAGTATGCCGAGTTCAATAACGCCTAATCCAATCAGGGTTCAGTCATGTGTTTGTTGTCTATTCTGAACCAATAGAAATAGTATGGCGGTAACATCTATCTTTCTATCTATCTCATTATCCAATTAGAGTTATGAATCCTTCAATCGGCGCTATCGGTAAATGGAAATATTTACTTCTACTGAAACTATAGTGTTCTTTGAAAAATAAAAAAAAAACAATGACACAGTATATATTCATTTTTTAATCTGTGAATTTTCACAATTAATCAGACATAAAAATCACAAACTCTGATTATCCCTATATCTTAGCATTTCAATGTCGGACACCTTAGATATTTAAAACTATGAATTATTTTAGATCAAATAATGATAGTTTGAAATATTAGCGGTTAACACCAACTGGTTGCAAACATATATTGATTTGAAAATCAGAATTTGTGGCTAAAACTCAGTTCCTTTGCAATTCTATTTAGGTTTTCTCATGGTTACTCTAGGATTTCTTCTGGTTTTTGGAAATTTGTTCAGATGTAAGTTCACGAATCAATCAATTTTTTTATGTTTTTTAAAAATTGCAATTGCAATCATAAATAACAGAAAATACAAAAATAACAAAAAAAAAATGGTCCCTTTTAAGATAAAAAAACAAATGGCTACCTTCAAATTTGTTATTTAAGGATTTTACCTAACTAGTACTGTTTGAAAATGTCTGTATGTTCCAAGCCCTAGGTTAAAATATTCTTTAAAGGAAGTCTGATTTCAATTTAACCTCCATGCAAAGATGGCAATGGTAGATTCACAATGGTGCCCTTAAAATCTTTGTTTAGTGCAGTATGAATTAGAATTAATGTTTATTATTAGAAAACAGATTATTTTCAATTGTGGTCTCTCTACAAAACTGACTTGCGCATTTTTACTACTAGAAAACTAAGAGAATTATCAGAAATAAATACTTTGAAACTTTGAAAAAAAAAAACATTATCTTCCTGATAACTAATCAGAATAGAACCATCTTTGCATGGAGGTTCACTTGAAATTACTTATACAGCCCCTTTAACAAAGAATAGTTTGAGTTAGATTATCTAAAATCTATTCCCTATCTATCTAGGTTTAACCAGCTTGAAACTGAATATGGTTGGTGTTCAACCATCCAAGCTAATTATTGGACAAAATGGGAAGATTCAGTGCAAATATAATCTGGAAGGAGCAGATCTTTATTCTCTAAAATGGTGAGTTTGTAAAACTGAGATCAAAACTTTTGTGGATCATACATCTTAATCGATTGATCTCGAAATCCAATGCGGGCATTTTTAAATTTGGAGATCAATGCTTTATCCTGAGATTAACAACACAAAAGTTTGGACTCCTAAATATTTAAAAAATATTGTCTAATTGTCTATGTCTTTTAAATATTTATTAAAGATTCTTGAGATTCTTATGGTCGGATAGAAATTATTGATAACTGATCATAACTTTGCAATGATTTTTGTCTTCTTTCATTCTTTCCAATCCTTAGTGAAAATTCTTATAATTTCAAAAAAAAAGATGACAACATCATTCCAGAATGTTTTTTGGACCCTACTTTACAAATTTGATGTTGGTCTATCAAAATTATAGACATGTGATGATGTGAGTGTGTGATTTTTGGCAATTTATACAGTTCAAATTAATAGTTAATATGTGTCTAGATAATCCTGTATATTTTTTCTTCTAAACGCCAATCTTCCAGCAAAATAGTATAAATGTTTAATTGGTGAAATTGGGATCAAAGGTTATGGCTTATAAGGACAAAATAGTTTCCTTGTTAATTAACAATTCTATCTGTTCGTTTTTAACTAATTTCGCTCAGGCTTTTATCTAGCTAGAAATATTTAATGTTTAATGTTATTAATAATTACATTATTACATGAAAGGTTTAATTAGGAAATACATTAGTAGTAATATACCGGCCCTAATAAGCTAACAGGCATAATTATATGATTAATTAAATCAGCGTTAGAACTTGTCAACAAGGATTAAATCTGTTTCTTCTGAATCTAAAAAAAAAGTTTTTTACATTTATTTGCAAATCAAACATATATGGGGGTGTTCTTTCAGCAGCAGGGTTGTATTTTTGACCTTTATACCTTGCAATCCGATTTCATAGACCTTTGATATATCAAAGTATGAATTCTGTTAGATCAAAGATACAAAGTTTAAAATATCAAAGGTTACAATTCCCGGACTAGAAAAAAACCATTAAAAAATCTAATTAATTCCAACATATTTCTGAATAATAGAAACACCTTTAAAGGTATTATTCGTTTTCCCTTTTCCTAATTATTGTCATTCTAGCAATTATGTTCTGAGTAATCAATTTCCGCTTCCGCAGGCTAAAATATTCAATTAAAACATTGCCAAAGTTAACTGAAGGAAATATATAAATAGAATTTTTGTTTTTAAACATTCACTTATCTGATTAGAAACTTCTCAAGGGAAATATGTCAAAAGGATTCAAAAATGCATCAACAATATGCACAACAAAAATATTAAAAAACTTGGTCCAAATGCATTTATTTATCATTGTATTCCATTATACTATGTATATTAATAAAAAACCCTTATATTAAAGATCAGTGGCCGAATTTAAAGAATTTAAGCGGCGGTTTAAATTTAAGCCTCGGTTGGTTCCACTTAAAATTGTATCAATTGTTTCAAGATTTAATCCGGCGCTTGATTTAAACCGGGTTTTGGCGGATTTAAACCGCGGCTCAAATTCTTTAAATTCCATCTCAGGATATTTCATTACTAAATTGTTACATAATTGCATTAAAGGGGTTAAATATGTAATTTCTTAGGATGCTCCATTCGAGGGAAAAAAGATTTGTGTAAAAAAAGAATTTGAATAAGATATATGCCCCTTTCTAGGTATAAGAATGGAGTTGAGTTCTATCGCTATATGCCTGGACAAGAAAGAAAAATTACAGTGTATGATGCTCCTGGAGTCACTATTGATGTAAGTTTTAAAAATAATTTTTTTGATTTTTAAAACCGAATGCGGAAATGGGAAAAATATGTTTTGGAGATTTGTTGATGCTTAGTTCTAAAGTTGTTAGAAATGAAAATAAAATAATGATTCTTGATTGATTTGTCGTTTGATTTTGTTTAATTTAGCTGCAGTACAATAACAAATATTGTTGTTTACATTTTGTAATCTCTAGCTGCAGAACAATAACAAATATGTTAATTCCTTTTATATTGTTGTTTACATTTTGTAATCTCTAGCTGCAGTACAATAACAAATATGTTAATTCCTTCTATACTGTTGTTTACATTTTGTATTATTTAGCTGCAGTACAATAACCAATATGTTTAATAACCTTCTATATTGTTATTTACATGCTGCAGTTCAATAACAAATTTGTTATTTACATTTTGTATTATTTAGCTGCAGTACAGTAACAAATATGTTTAATAACCTTCTATATTGTTATTTACATGATGCAGTACAATAACAAATATGTTTATTAACCTTCTATATTGTTATTTACATTTTGTATTATTTAGCTGCAGTACAGTAACAAATATATTGTTATTTACATTTTGTATTATTTAGCTGCAGTACAGTAACAAATACGTTTATTAACCTTCTATATTGTTATTTACATTTTGTATTATTTAGCTGCAGTACAGTAACAAATATGTTTAATAACCTTCTATTTTGCTATTTACATGCTGCAGTACAATAACAAATATGCTTATTTCTTCTATACAGTTGTATTATTTAGCTGCAGTACAGTAACAAATATGAGCTGCATCTTCGGTCCATCATTCTGGAGAGTGCAGGGACTTACAGGTTATAAGAAGTCCAACTTTTTTATCAATTCATCAAAAGCTTTGATAGAATCTTATAAAATATTAATAGAATCTTTGAATATGTAGAGAGACAATAACAAAATGATAGAAATAGCTGAAAGGAGATTCTAAAATTGTTTAATTTAACAATTTGTTATCAGAAAACTTTTTTAATAAGCTACATTTCATTCTTTCATTTTGTAATGTTTAAATGCTTTAATAAAGATATCGTGTGCTTAAATCTATTTTAATTTATTCAAATCTGAATAAAACATTTTTTAGATGTGAGGTATCAACAGAAGCTCCTGATTTTAACACTCTGTCTGAAGTAGTACAGGTAAAAACTAACATATTTTTTATTTTCTATAATTCTCTGCATATATATTTGCATATTGCATCGCATATTACTCTGCATATTACGTTAAATATTACTCTGCATATTACTCTGCAATTTAGAGATGTCAACGTTTTGATTATTCTAGATTTTAGCTTTCGTTACGATAGTGTTCATCAAAAGTATAAACGTTTGAAACGTTACGTTGCATATTATGAAAATGTATGGCATAGAGTAACGTTATCTTAATGAATTTTCTGCACTTAAATATCTTAAATGTTAGTGAAAAAACAGTAAGCTCCGTTACACTTTAGCAGTCCCTGGTTTAAAAACTTTCCCAACGTTGCGTTAAAACTTATGTAATATAACCACAATTTTTTAACGTTCCACTTTCATGCAAAGTAAATGTTTTCAGAGACCTTACGTTACACTTTCACTTGGTTTGAAAACTAAAAGGTGACAAACGTTTTGCTTTAATAAAACGTCACTAGGGCATAGTTCTGCACGTTGCAATGCATTTCAGTGCAAAGAATATTTTTTGTTAACGCTACGTTTCATCTTAAGTTTTCCAATATAAACTCTTTTAATTACGTTTAGAAATTTTACTAAAATGCAACTTTTCTTACGTTACGATTTATCGAAACGTTATTTTAAAAACTTCTTTTGTTACACTTTTTTACAACTGAAAATCAAAACTGTTTATTCGTTTCGTTTCTAAGAAAGATTTGAAAAAAATTTCTATATGTTTCGTTATATGAAAATGTTCAGGCCTTAATGTTTCTAACGTTACACTTTATTAAAAATAATATTGTTTCTAAATGAAAGCATTACAAGATTTTTTCCGTGATAATTACATTCCTACTTTAGTATTTTTCATCCTAAAACATGCCATGCAAAAAAATTGTGTTTTTAATCCCTTTTTCACTCACCTTGTATGTTGCTGTTGTATTGTTAACCTTTTTAGAGAATGTGTAGAAGAATATGCAATATAAAGATGCTATAATATTATTATTTTTAAGGGATTTTAAAATTTGTGAATGCGAGTTTTTAGCATTAGACTTTCAACTCAAGGGTGTGTCTTAAAGGGACTAGAGACGTAATTTCAAGTGACCTTCCATTTATGGAGTGGCATGTCCAGCATAAATTCACAAGATAGGAAAATGCTGGTATTTTCAAATCATTAATCAGATAACGGTATACACGGTACCATTGGGAATCGAGCTTGGCCCTCTTTAAATATAGGATCACTTGAAATTATCATCGTGTAATTGACGAGCTTAAAAATAAACATGTTTTGGGACACTTCATAAAATGAGTTAAAATTCGACAAGGCAAACCATTTTTGCATGTGGAACAGTAGTTTTTTTTCTTTTTTTACTCAATACAAACTGACATTTCTAACAGAAATAATAGTCTTAAATATCGAAGGTCTACAACATTGGGTAGCAAATATATGGATTAGAAATATAAGTTTGTGACAACAACTCAATTCCTTTAGACTTTCTTATCTAACAGAAGTCATAGTCTGAAATATGAAAAGTCTACAATACCAGCTTGCAAAGATATAGAGATTAGAAAATTATAATTTAATTATAAGTTGGTTATCCATGGAAACCCTTTTTGCATTCACAATACATAACTAATGCTAATTCATAATATATATAAAAGTTGATTATGAGGTTGCATAGTGGAGGAACTAGGAGGGGAGGGGTTGTGATTAAGAGTTAGCCAAAACTTTAAGTTTTGCTAATGAGAGATAAGTTCTCAGTTCAAAACAAATTCAAATTTCTACTTCTCTGGGATAAATTTAAAAGTGCTGAGATGAAGAGTAAAACTAAAACTCACCCATTCAATGTAATAGAAAGTATGAAGTTTAATATTTTGCAACCTGGAATAGGTCCTGCAAGACCTGGAAAAGGTCCTGCAGGACCTGAAATAGGTCCTGCAAGACCTGAAATAGGTCCTGCAAGACCTGAAATAGGTCCTGCAGTACCTGAAATAGGTCCTGCAAGACCTGAAATAGGTCCTGCAGTACCTGAAATAGGTCCTGCAAGACCTGAAATAGGTCCTGCAAGACCTGGAATAGGTCCTGCAAGACCTGAAATATGTCCTGCAAGACCTGGAATAGGTCCTGGAAGACCTGAAATAGGTCATGCAAGACCTGAAATAGGTCTTGCAAGACCTGGAATAGGTCCTGCAAGACCTGAAATAGGTCCTGCAGGCTGCAAGACCTAAAATAGGTCCTGCATACCTGCATGGAATAGGTCCTGCAAGACCTGGAGTAGGTCCTGCAAAACCTGGAATAGGTTCTGCAAGACCTGAAATAGGTCCTGCAAGACCTGGAATAGGTCCTGCAAGACCTGAAATAGGCCCTGCAAAACCTGGAATAGGTTCTGCAAGACACTTACCAAAAGGTTTCTCTCAAGCTAACATTGATATTGATAACTAAAACACAAGTCATTCCTTTCAAATACCAAGTTTTTCTCATGAAATCATACAGATTAAAGATAAATGGTTTATCATCTCAAATTCTTTTAAAACTAAATATTAATATTTTCTGTTTCTTTTTTCATGTTAACAATTGTATTACAAAATAAATATTGTATATATCACATCAGGGAATTATGGAATTGAGCTTTACATATTTATTGTGAAGTAATTATTAGTATCAGATTCGTGTAGAACAGAATAAAGAATATTACGGTGTTTTAGTTGTAAAAATGATCTTGTATTCATGGTGCCTATAAAAAAATAAGAGACACTTCTCAAGTTAGTCAAGGACGACAGTTTTTAGAAATACTACAGAGAAACACTTTTCATGTTACATAAACATGCTTAGATACATTTTATATATATATGACGACAATTTTTAAGAATATTAAGAAATTTGTGATAATGAACATGTCTCAAACTCTTATGTTTGTATTCACTTTATCTTTGCAACCTGATGGTGTAAACATTTGATACTTAAAACTAGCCATTATTCAAAGGTGTGCGACATCAGGTTGCCAAGAAGCAAGGATCAGCAAATTTATTCTTGTTTCTTTTATAAACCTGACTTGAATAATCCTGATTAAACTAATCCTGATTAGACTAATCCCGATTAGAATAATCCTGATAAGACTAATCCTGATTAGACTAATCCTGATTAGACTAATCCTGATTAGAATAATCCTGATGAGACTAATCCTGATTAGACTAATCCTGATTAGACTAATCCTGGTTAGAGTAATCCTGATTAGACTAATCCTGATTAGACTAATCCTGATTAGACTAATCCTGATTAAACTAATCCTGATTAGACTAATCCTGATTAGGCTAATCCTGACTAAAGTATTCCTGAGGCCGAATTTAAAGAATTTGAGCCGCGGCTTAAACCCGCTAAAACCCGGTTTAAATTAAGCGCTGGCTTAAATCTTGAAACATTTGATACAATTTTAAGTGGAACCAATCATATTTAAGCCGCGGCTTAAATTTAAGTCGCCGCTCAAATTCTTTAAATTCGGCCTCTGATAAGACTAATCCCTACTCTCTGAATGATAATGAATAAATTTCAGTATTTCCTTATACGAAGTGAGTTAGTCCCCAGAAATTAAACTAATTAAGTTCTAAATTAGCCTTTACAGTTTCCAGACTGTGGTAATAAATTCTGTGAACTTTATGATGTGTGTTTACTGAGATGTAGAACTGGAATTTGCATACTTAAAACACATTGCTTCTGGCACTTGAAACCCTTTGCTCGCTTTTAAAACAAATGAAAAGAACTTTACATTCACTTTTTTATCCCTGGTACACAGGGGTATCTGAGGACAGGGGTATATGAGGACAGGGGTATCTGAGGACAGGGGTATCTGAGGACAGGGGTATCTGAGGACAGGGGTATCTGAGGACAGGGGTATATAAGGACAGGGGTATCTAAGGACAGGGGTATATAAGGACATGGGTATATGAGGACAGGGGTATCTGAGGACAGGGGTATCTGAGGACAGGGGTATCTGAGGACAGGGGTATCTTCTAGGGACAGGGGTATATGGGGACAGGGGTATCTGAGGACAGGGGTATCTAAGGACAGGGGTATCTGAGGACAGGGGTATCTGAGGACAGGGGTATCTGAGGACAGGGGTATCTGAGGACAGGGGTATCTAAGGACAGGGGTATCTGAGGACAGGGGTATCTAAGGAAAGGGGTATCTAAGGACAGGAGTATCTAAGGACAGGGGGATCTGAGGATAGGGGTATCTGAGGACAGGGGTATCTGAGGACAGTGGTATCTGAGGACAGGGGTATCTGAGGACAGGGGTAATGAGGACAGGGGTATCTGAGGACAGGGGTATATAGTTTATTTACATTATATTTTACACATAGATCCAGACTGATATAAACTGCATCAATATTCAAGACTGGGTTGACTTTAAAGTGTTGAAACGCATTGATATAAACCCAATGATACCTTTGGAGCCCTAAACCATACAATTGAAAGCAATATGGCATGTTTTTAGCTACAGTTAAAAAAGTAAGAGACAAAACTCCCAAGGATTTTTGCGTGGTATAAAATATCAGTCCTGTTAAATATCTTTGTTAAAAATATTTAAAAAGCTTGTTTTTTACTTCACATAAAAAACAAAACACTCTCTGCCGAAGAAACGTTGAATAAATTAAACACCACCATTCATTGTCTGTTGTTGTCAAAGCAAAGCTTAACAGCACTGGTGGAGAATACTTTTAACGCCAAGGGATTGTTGCCAGCAAGTTTTAAAATTAGGAACTCTACTAAGTCAATATTACCAATGAAAGACCTCATCTATTTATACTTTGCTTGTGTGTCTGTTGTTTGTTTGTTTGTTTGTATCCAATAAACGTCAAAACTGCTGAACCGATCAGGCCCGAATTTTGTGTGAGACCTCAGATGACCCCGGGAAAGTCTTATAGATGATTAAAATTTAAAGAATTTGCATCCAACAAAATTGTAAAAACAAGCAAAGCTTTTTTTCCCAAAAAGTAAAATTTATGAAACACCATTTTTGATGAAAAACCAACAAAAAAATTGATCAGTGTGTTCTTTGAATTTGTGAATAATCCCTTTAAACTTGTCTAGGTTGATGTCATCTCACTGCCCCGGGGACCTAAAATATCAGGTTTAGAAGCAGCATATTCTCCTGGTGATCTAATCAGAGCTAACTGTACTGCTCTCAACTCTCTACCACCAGCCTCTCTAATCTGGTATATTAACAAGGTAAGCAGCATATTCTCCTGGTGATCTAATCAGAGCCAACTGTACTGCTCTTAACTCTCTACCACCAGCCTCTCTAATCTGGTATATCAACAAGGTAAGCAGCATATTCTCCTGGTGATCTAATCAGAGCTAACTGTACTGCTCTCAACTCTCTACCACCAGCCTCTCTTATCTGGTATATCAACAAGGTAAGCAGCATATTCTCCTGGTGATATAATCAGAGCTAACTGTACAGCGCTTAACTCTCTACCACCAGTCTTTCTAATCTGGTATATCAACAAGGTAAGGAGCAGTGTGTCCCATATTTAGCTACACTCAAAGAATACAGGGTTACCAATAAAGCATGACTTTAATAACGACCTGAAACTCTTAAAGTATATCTGAAGGTTGACTTTGATTTTCTGCTTTCTATATATTGTTTACTTCATGTATACTTCATGATTGGAAGTGTAAGAAATAAGTGCACAGAAACCATTAATGGAAGATAAAAAGACGGAATGAATTCCGAACAGTCGTCTCTGAAGTCTCATCCTTGGTGGTAACCTTTGTATATATTGGGTTTCAGGATAGATCTAATCACTGGCGGGCAATATTCCGCGGATTTTTTTTTTTTTAATTGATGGCAAACTCTGTTAACAAAACGAAAACTCTGTTAAAAATCAGGAAATCTAGTACTATACAGAAATTATGTTACCAAAAGAAAACTCTGCTATAAAAAGCAAAACTCTGTTACCTCACGATAACTTTTTAAATCTAGAGAAAACTCTATTATCAAATTGGAAAACTATGTCACAAACGGTGAACTCTGTTACAAATCTGAAAACTCTAAAACTAAAGAGAAAACTCTGTCACAAACGGTGAACTCTGTTACAAATCTGAAAACTCTAAAACTAAAAAGAAAACTATGTCACAAACGGTGAATTCTGTTACAAATCTGAAAACTCTAAAACTAAAGAGAAAACTCTGTCACAATCGGAAAATTCTGTTACAAATCTGAAAACTCTAAAACTAAAGAGAAAACTCTGTCACAAATCGGAAAATTCTGTTACAAATCTGAAAACTCTAAAACTAAAGAGAAAACTATGTCACAAACGGTGAATTCTGTTACAAATCTAAAAACTCTAAAACTAAAGAGAAAACTCTGTCACAAATCGGAAAATTCTGTTACAAAATTGAAAAAGATAAACAGCAATTATAGTTATTATTTAAAGAGAAATAGTCGTTAGTAAGTCAAACAGCTGTAATATTAATCTAACAAGTAAATTGAAAAATATTTTTAACAGTATGCCATAAATTTAAATGATTAGCTAATATAATCGTCAAATACATATTTTACACATTAATCTTACTAGAAGGTAGGAGATTATTTATCTATACTATCCTATTGTTCTTGTTTGAATTATATTTTAAATTACGCTTACAGTTCCTTTAAACACATATATTTGCGATAGAGTGCACATTTCTGTCGAAAACTGTTTCATGTCATTTTTACATAAATTGAAGAGAAGACTTGTGCATAACTTAAAACTTATTTCCATTTACTATTATTAACTTAAAGTGCAAAAGCAAACTAATCTTGAAACTCTTTGCATAAATGGAAATCTTTGGTGTCAAAAATATTAAAAAGTTTAGTTTATTCAGTTTTACACAGAGGTTGCTGATTAAAGGTACTGTAAGCGTAATTTCAAAAGACTCTCCATGCAAACATGGCATTGTCTGATTTACAACGGTACCAATAAAAGCTTTGTCTGATTTAGTATGATTAATGCATGATTCACTGAAGTTTGTAGAAAGATTTTGACTCCAGTGGAGACCACCGGAGGGAATTCATTTTCACTGGAGGGGTTTGAAAAAATACACCGTATAGTTTTACATAAAATATATTTTTTTGTTATTGATAACTTTGTATGAAACCTGCTTTATATCTAAGAAATATTTTTTAATATTTTCCGGAAGTCAAATATATAAAATATTTATTTATAAAATTAATATAAATATGTTTGCTTGGTTTAGGAACCTGTTACTTCAACTCCTCGCAACAATAGATCTTTGGCCTACTTCCCCTCCTCTATCCAGCAACAACCAGTTTCATTCCTTCAAACATCAGAGGAGAACAACCTTACATCATCAACACTAGAGGCCGTATTCACGCTCAAGCTCAGTCATTTCCAGGTAAAAAACTGCACAGTGGACTAAGGTCAATTTTAATTCGAACAAGGCCGACTCCTTGTACGAGCTTTGGTGACGCAGAGCATGTACTGGCCCGACTGGGTTATTTCAAGGCTTTACACTGGGTAGTCCACACTGGACATTACGACTGCTACCCAATGTTTTCGAACTTTGATATTTTAAGCTTTAAATTCTGATAGATCAAACAGTTGGACATGTAAAAGGTTTAAACCATCAGGTTGCATAGGTATTTGAAAATCTCAGTTTGTGGCAACACCTTAATTATTTTAATAAATGTACGTATTCATATTTATTTAAACTTTCAATTGGAATAATAACAATTATCAAAAACATGGTTTTATAGAAATTTCCGTTTTTCTTCTTTTTTTATCATTTATTCGAAAAAAAACAAAATATCAAATACTTTTTTTCAATTATGCTTATATATTAACTTAATTCAACATCTTGTAAAATTGGAAAGCTATATGCTTAAAAGTTTTATTTTTATTTTGTATTCTTATAAAGTTTAATGGTACAAGGCAAGGTTCAACTATTTTCATCTTTTTTTCCTTTTCTCATCTGCAGGTTCTCCTTTTAAAAACTCTTTTTGCCTGTCTGCAGTTTTGTATCAGTTTTTTAAAGAATTAACGAAGAGGTTAAAAATTCCTTTTAAATACAATCATCGCAGCCACCCATTCTTGCGCATTTAAAAAAATCCTATTCAACATTTCTGATAAAAAATAACCCTGAGGTATAATCCCTTCTCAACAGAAATTCATAGTTTTAAGAGTCTTTTTTTCAAGTGAATTTTATATTTAGATCCCAAAACATGATACAATTCAGGAATATAGAGAGGCTCCTAAGGGATTCTCTCAATATCTAAATTCCTTTCAGAAATTTGGCATTTTATAAAGTTCCAGAAACATTGGTCTCTTTTTTCAATTTTAATTTCTTTAACTTTAAGCCCACATATTTTTAAAGGGACTGTAGTCGTAATTTCAAGTTATGCTCAATTTAAATGGCATCATGTCAGATTCACTACTGTGGTTTCCCTACGAAAGTGATTTATATTACAGAAACAACTAAGGAAATTGTAAGAATTAAAGATTAGCTACTTTTATTCTGCTTTTCATTGAGACAATATTATTTTTATTATATCTGACAGAAATTACTAAAACTAATTTTGACGTAAACTCAATTATACCAGTTAGTTAAAGGAAGCGATGTGCAACAGAAACTTTTAATATTTTTAGACCTTTAAAAATGTTTACGACAATCTGAGAAGGGTCCAAGAATTTAAAATTGTATGCTGTAGAAGTTTGCTTTTTCATCAAATATGCAAATTTGTTATCTTAGATGTAGATATAAGGCAAATCCTAACCAACAACTACCATTTTAAAAACCCAAAGTAGATAGATCCACAGTAAATAATTTCGGTAGGATTTCTGCATAGAAACTGACAGGTGGTTTGTGATGGGGAGAGGGGGAGGGAGGAAGCTGAATTGTATCATGTTTTGGGATCTAAATATAAAATTCACTTGAAAAAAAGAGCCTTAAAACTATGAATTTCTATTGAGAAGGGATTATACCTCAGGGTTATTTTTTATCAGAAATGTGGAATAGGTTTTTTTTTAAATGCGCAAGAATGGGTGGCTGCGATGATTGTATTTATGTAATTTAAAGTGACAGATGACAATGCCAGATTTACAACTGTAACCTTAAAACCTTAATCTGATCAAAAATGTGGAAGATACCATTGAAAAGTCTATATTTCTCTGAGTTTTCTGGTGTTTACAAGAAATGCTCAAGTTACTTTCGCAGAGAAATCGCAAATGAAAATGAATATCATGCATAAAATATCTAGATTTTTTTTTATTTGATGCGAGTGTCAACTTTTGGTACGAGTGCCAACTTATGGTACGAGTGTCAACTTTTGGTACGAGTGTCAACATTTGGTAAGAGTGTTAACTTTTAGTACAAGTGTCAACTTTTGGTACGATTGTCAACATTTGGTACAAGTGTCAACATTTGATACAAGTGTCAACTTTTGGTATGAGTGTCAACTTTAGGTACGAGTTTCAACTTTTGGTACAAGTGTCAACTTTTGGTACGAGTGTCAATTTTTGGTACAAGTATTAATTTTTGGTATGAGTGTCAACTTTTGGTACGAGTGGCAACTTTTGGTACGAGTGTCAACATTTGGTAGGAGTGTCAACATTTGGTACGAGTGTCAACATTTGATATGAGGTCAACTTTGGTATGAGTGTCAACTTTTAGTACGAGTGTCAACTTTCAGTACAAGTGGGAACTTTTGGTACAAGTGTCAATATTTTGTATGAGTGGCAACTTTTGGTACAAGTGTCAACTATTGGTACGAGTGTCAACATTTGGTACGAGTGTCAACATTTGATATGAGTGTAAACTTTTGGTACGATTGTCAACTTTTGGTACGAGTGTCAACTTTTGGTATAACTTTTGGTATGAGTGTCAACTTTTGGTATGAGTGGCAACTTTTGGTACAAGTGTCAACTATTGGTACGAGTGTCAACATTTGGTACGAGTGTCAACTTTTGGTACGAGTGTCAACTTTTGGTACAACTTTTGGTATGAGTGTCAACTTTTGGTGCGAGTGGCAAGTTTTGGTATGAGTGTCAACTTTTGGTACGAGTGGCAACTTTTGGTACGAGTGACAACATTGGTCTCAGATCTTTGACGTTGTATACATGTGATGTAAAACTTGAAATATCTACAAGCATTACTGTTGACAGAGAAAAAGCTGTTTTGAATAAATTCTGAATTTAAATTTTATTTATTTGCATGTTTCAGGATGGAAAACTTAAATTGAAATGTACAGCCTTCCTCGATGAAATTTTTATGCGAAGTGAAGAGGTTAGCGTAGAACAGATTCAACCCCAGTCGACCATGTTCAGTTCCAGAGACGAATATGTACCGCTGGCCCCAACAAGAGACATATACAGGCCAAAAGGATCCCTAGCAGATTTTCAACCAAGTGAAAACGTGAGAACTGTAAGTGGTGCTGTGATAGCTATGGATCCTAAGAATCCATTTCATGATCTACTTAACTCAAAATCACAGCTGATAATTAGCCTCACTACCATAATTGTTTGCAGTAGTTTCAGCATTATTCTATTTTAATGCTAAACTTCTTCATGTACTTACTGCTTTTGATGTCAAAGTTAAATTCTTCAATCTTGCTAAAATGAGTAAACTTTAAAAACTTTTTTTTACATTCTTAAAATATTCTCCTTATGAAAAGTTTTTTGTGTATTTTTATTTATTTGTTTGTAATGCTTAGAATGAATAAGGAAATAATATGTTCAACAAAACTATGTATTAAAGCTTTTTTTAATCCTTTATATTTCTATCTGATATTTCTGAAATTATCTAAAACCCCTTTTTTGTACAAAAATAATCAAAATAATTCAGAACGTTAAAGATTTAATAGCCAACAAATAAAGCTTATATAATAAAGCTTTTTTTCTCAATTATAAAAATTAGCTTTTTTATCAAAAGTGAAAGGACCAAAAAATTTACATTTCAATATCAGCATTCTAAACTTACTGTTTTCCTAACCAATTTAAAGGTAATATTTAACATAACATAAATACTGCTCTGGATAAAAAGGTTGTATTTATCTTGAATGCTTCAAAAACTAATTCTTAATTTAATTTAATGAATGAGTTTTGATTATATTTAGCATTGAGCATATTTTTCTAAGCATCAAAAGTTCATAAGAATCTCTTTATTTTAAAAGTGAAATTTTCATAAGGTATGTAAAAATGTTGGCACTGACCAAATTATAAAAATTATTTTTTGTTGTGACTTTTGAGTTTTTGTCTTCCGTGTTCTGTCAAAGAAAAAATTGTCAGACATTTTTCAGATTTTTGTGGAATCTTACAATAGCCAAAAAAAATTCGAATGTTTGAAAACGAATGAAAATAACAAAAGCCATTTTTATTTTTTATTTAAAAAGATTATATTAGTATATAATTTAGAAAAGATAAAAAAAATAGTTTAGTTTTTTTTTAATTTAACATAAATGTCCTAAAAAATGGTTGTAATAGCCCAGAGTCTGAATTTAATGAATTTGAGCCGTGTCTCAAATCCGCCGAATACCGGTTTCAATTGAGCGCCGGCTTAAATCCAGAAACATTGAATACAATTTTAAATGAAATTAACTATATTTGAGCCGCGGCTCAAATTCATTTCATCAAATTTTATAATATAACCTTTTACATACTCTTTCTCTTCCGTCTTGTTAGAATAGCAAGAAGACCTGTTCCTGTCATATATCATATTATGCTGTTTAAGAATTGTCCAGCTTCAAGGGAAATATCATTCTCTTTGGTGATTTATGTGTAAGATTATTCCAGGTTTTATATTCTAAAAATATATCATCTTATTCCATATCATTTAAAAATAGATGTCACTTCATGATTTAGCATGTAAAGGAGGGGATAGAAAAGTTTTACATACAAACTATTAATTTTAAATCTTGGTTTGATTTAGAAGAAATATTCTTAGATTTTTATTTTTTAAAATCTTCTCTGTACTATGTTTTCTATATTGTTGTACTCTATAACTTTAATATATATTGTTGTATCAATTCTTTTAGATATTTCGACTCAACATATTGTTTTTAAAGAATGATATATACTTTGGAGAAAAAAACTCAGCGGGAGCGGTTGAACCAGCGGTTGAGATCTAG